CTACCACCACCACTACTACTACGACGACTAATTGCCGCTACAGCTATGGCGTTTACCACGACTGGTACTTTTGCTGCAGCGACGACGACGGCCGCCACTGAGAGTAGCTCCACGACCCTATGATGTTTTCCCTCTTGCCATAAGCAAATGCTAGCGGTATGCAAGAGATCCGTTTCGGGTTTGGTTTAGGGTCTTTGACCCTATTCACAACTTGCAGCCCCGCAGCCCTACACAATAAGCAGGTTATGCCCCCACCCCTATCCCAAACAAGTAGCTTTTGGGCCCAGAACAAAATCAGGTTCGTAGGAAATCCCCCCTTAACCCTAAACCCGAAAACTCTAAATCCTAAATCCTAAACCTAAACTCTAGACCCTAAACCCTTCTAAACCTAAATTCTATAAAGCCTAAACCCAGCCCCGAGTCGCAAGCTCAGCAGGTGGAGGTTTCTCCCGAAGGCTGGGAACCGGGAGACCTCCTCCTCGTCCGTGCCAAGGCGACCGCTACGGTTTCAGGTTTTAGGGTTTAGGGGTTTAGGATACAGAGTTTAGGGTTTAGGGGTCTGGGGTTTAGGGTTGGGGTCTGGGGGTTAGGGTTTAGGGGTCTGGGGTTTAGGGTTTAGGGGTCTGGGGTTTAGGGTTCAGGGGTCTGCGGTTTAGGGTTTAGGGGTCTGGGGTTTAGGGTTTAGGGGTCTGGGGTGTAGGGTTTTAGGGTTTAAGGGGTCTGGGGTTTAGGGTTCAGGGGTCTGGGGTTTAGGGATTAGGGTTTAGGGGTCTGGGGTTTGGGGTTTAGGGTTTGGGGTTTGGGGTTTAGGGGCTAATCTGGGTTCCCTTAGGTACCCAGAGAACCCAACACACCTTAATTAAGGAATATTCCTTAAATTATAGGGGCCTTAACATTATGATTTAAGGTATATTCCTTAATTAAGGGGTATTGGGTTCTCTGGGTACATATGTTGAATCTTACACAATGCATATTACATTCTTCTTACATATTGCATGCTATATGCTATGTGTTATAGACTATCTGTTAGATTTATATCATACTGTATGATTGCATTGTTATACTATATTACATCCACATCCGTGCCGTCCTCACCACACCTGGTTGGCTTGGTCTTATCTAGAAAACTGAAAGTGCCAATGTCACTTTGGAACTTGGGAGTTGTGGGGACGGCCGAACTGCATCTCACCTGCAAAGGCAAAAGCGAGCGCTTCTCTACATGCATATATAGGTGTGCATTCTCTCTCTCTCTCTCACACACACACACCCGCGCACACACACACACATACAGCCGCGCGCGCGCGCGTGCTCTCAATATGCAGGCGTGTGTTCGTGTGCATATACATATGCTTCCACATATGCAAAGACATAGTGCAAATACATGGGTGTACATGCATATGAACAGTTTTCGCGCATGCAGATTTGGCAAATATGTGCGGGGCCGCATTCATCCTAGCTGCAAGTCGCGCAAAGAGTTGACAGTTTGAAGCCTCCGACTTTTATCTTACATAACGCTCGGCCTGTTCTCGACCTGTTTTGAGTTTGCTGCTTGGCCCTTCTTTTCCAGAGTACAGGGTTTGGGTGTCAGGGCATTCGGGTGCGAAATCTGGAAATGCCAGAAAACGCAAAACACAAAAAGGATTCAGTGCAGTGTTGAAGCCCTAAACTCCCTGCACCCTCAAGCCTAAATTGTATGTGCCGTGGCTTGGGTTTAGCAGCTTGGGGCGTGCCCGAAGCCTTACACGGTTTAGGGTTTGGGGTTTGGAGGTCACGAGGATTGAGCTTCGAGGTGGTGCGATGCAGCTTTTTTTCGCGTGGCAATCAGGCCAGTCCATGATGCTGCAGCCACTCGTCCTTAGCAGGACCAGCAAGAAATAGGATGAGGCCCCGCACACTCAGCTGTACTTGCGGCATCGTGGCTCTTCTTAGGCCCTACGTGTTCGGTTGCTGGGTTCCGTCTTCGAAATAAACATCGCATCGAAGCAGATGACACGGAACCTCAATGCAGACCGCTTTGCCTGAAATGCTTCCACCTGAACTTGCTGCTCCATCTTGACGGATGACGATGGAAAACACTATTTTTGGAGTCGGCTTATTCCACACAGTTGAAATTCTTGAGAACACATGCGAACTGCAAGAGCTAGAACTCTCAGCACGAAGCCTTTGGGGCACACGAAGATATATCCAATCTTGCAGCTGGTTTTGCTGCGGATCTACACTGAAGAGCTTGGATTATTCAGGTGCTGGGTGGCCTGTAGGGCTAAGGGTTCGGGATTTGGACCGCAGGGGCAGCCCAAAAACAGAAGCATGGCAGGTTCAGGACTGTCTTTATTAGGCCGCAGCATCGTCATGCACCATGCTGCTGAACATCATGTGCTGAACCATAGAGCCCCAATACCCTCGACACTCCGGCTGAGACTTTTCACCCAACAAGTCCTCAGAAGTGACAAGAAGGTTTAATGTAGGGCTTGGGTGTAAACTTCCACAAGGGCACGTGAGCTTGGATGAACTGAAAGACTCGCGTGGCGACTTCCACAGAGTCTGGATTCTTGTCTGGATGCCAGCGGGCACGGACAGCCTGCATGCATGCTTTATCCACTAGCTCCGGGGTTTGGAGCTGTGTGCCTCAAATAGAGGTTCATCTCAAAATCAGGGGTTCAGACTATGATGAACTTCCGAATCCACTAGGCGAGACAAGGCACGCCTGAGCTTCGGATTTTTTATTTTGAGGGGCCCGTAGGAGTCAGGCACAAAGCCTTACCGTAGATCAAAGGCTCCCCCGCAAGCCTTGCCTTGCTGATGATATGCGTTCTATGTCTGCAGCTGAATGCCACTTGTCGTAGTTGCTCTAGGTGCGGAAACCGTAGTCCTGAAACCTCACTGCTGTCTTTGCCTGCTAGGACGACTTTATTCAGAAAGACGTGGCCCGCTGAGAAACACCCATACCACTCCTAAATGGCTACCAAAGAAGGCGAGACCCAGGTTTGAGAACAATTTCGACACCACAAATGAGAACCATGGGAACAGTGTGAGTAATGCTGATAATAAGACTACGACAAACTAAAGTCTCCTAAGTTGAGTTGTGAACCGTAGGAACACCCACTGACTAATGGCAGTTAGCGATGATGACACCCTATACCCTCAACCCTAAACACCGCCCAGGGAGGCCTTCAAAGCTTTTTTCTGCTGGGAGAAGGGCTTCGACAAGAGTCCGGCCATTTCACGTGCGATCTCCTCTCTAGCTTGGTTGTGGTTTAGGAATTGTCTGGTTCACAAGACATTTACTTAGCTTTACTGGAAGTAGGCCGCGATACGTGTTGTTCGAGTTTCAGAAAATCCGTCGCGAAAGGATTCGCTTCACCGCCACAGGCTTTAAACTTTTGGCTGATGCTAACTCCAGGAAGAAGTTGGAAAGTTTGTCATGTGTCAGGCCTGCTCCTCGGGTTTTAAACTTGACCGAGCAGGTACAGGAGCCAGACCCCAAACCCTAAACCCTAAACCCTGCTTCGGAAAGGCACTTGGCGTCTTCAATTATGCAGACCTGCAACCTGGTACTCTGGACCCCAGGCTCTGAAACCTGCTTATAACTCAGGACAAGGGAGTTGGGGCTCAAAACCACCACTTTGTTGGGCAAAAATCCGTTCTGTGCATCAGGCTGTCTTGTCCCTCTGAGTGAAAGCTGCGGACACCTGAACATCTGGAGCCAGGATCTGGGCTGAAGGGCGCATCTGTTGGAGTCACTCGAGTTGTGGGCCATCATCTGCTAGTGTACTAGAGACTCTGGAAACATAGGACTACTGGTTGTTTTTGGCAGCCTGCAGTTACAGCCTAGCTCTTGGGTCAAAGCCTTCACAAACTGCTAAACGCCTCTAAACTCTGAAATGAACAGGAAACCCACAAATCTCTAAAGTGAAAGCAGCTAAACTTCGAGAAGACACCAACTTCCAAAACCCCCAAAGCCTGAGCCCCGACCAGCCCCCATTTTGGTCCTCCTCGCCCTTGGCCACCTCCCGATCTTCTGCAGAACTCTCTGCGTCTGCCGCAAGTGGTGTGGGGCGATCTGGCTCCTTTCCGAAGTCTGAGGGTTCGAGGTTTCGGGGTTTTGGGCTTAGGGTGGAATTGGGGTCAAGGGTTTCACCTGAAACATCAAAGTGCGTTTTCTCTATGTGTTTGAGTGTTTGCCTGTTTACATAGGTGAATAGTAAAAGTGCTTCATACCGTGCGATCGGAATGCCACATATCTCTGCCTAACTAGAGTGTTGACATCTGGGCGTGGTCTTTCCAGCTCAGAGGCTCAGGATTTGTGGCCATGCGTGGATGTCATCAGTTTTAGATTCAGGGAAAAAACTCCCATGTCGGCTTATCCACGGTCCTTGATCGTGGAACCCTCGGGGGATATAAAGAACGTCCGAAAAATCTGTATCTCAGACTCCCTAGGAAACTCTACAACTCAACAAAAGCCCAAAGATGGAACCTGCTACACATCGGGAACCAACAAACTCTTGGAAGCTTGTATCGGTTGCAACCGATACCCCAATTGACCCCATTGGGCGAGATCCCGAGCCCCACTTTGAGAAAATTTCGCAACACTGCACCGAGATCAGTAGAACTGCAGCCATGTTGCAGGCGGTGGAGCTGGCCTCTCGACAAAGATTGCTCAGTTGGGACTTGCTGATGCTGCATCAGAGGTGGAAAGTGAGGATTTCGTGCTTGGTTTAAGGGCCGGGACCTTGAAGACCAGAATGTCGCTGGCAACAGTAGCTAGATTCACTACACATACTGATGCTGACATCATTGACAATACACGCAATACTGTCAAGATGAGCAAACCACAAGTCAGGGTCCAGGGTTTTTTGTTGTATTTTTCTGGGTTTTCTGGGTATTATTTGGTTTTCGGTTGGATCCATATACAAAACTTGCAAGCGTCACAGGGATGGCGACAACTGAGGCTATATTCGAGGTTTGTTTTCTCAATTTTTTTTGGTTTTCGGCCTGACCGCCGGCCCCTCCGTGCCAGTTCAGGCTCTGGGCGTCTCAGGTTTGCGGCTTGACGTTCTTGATGGCACGATGTTCTTTAAAGCAAGCTTGCGCGGTAACAAGAAAGCAAAAAGTTGGGCCTCTAGGACGGGGTTTGCAAGGCCTCATACGAGTTCTGTGCTTGACTTGAAACCGCAAATAGCGAAATAGCGTTCTTGAAGGTACGATGTTCACTAAATCATGTCCACAAGGCTTCGCAGCCCCCCCCCCCCAGTTTGCTAGCACAATGCTAAAGGGAATGGCGGTTCATCACATCTTGAACACCTGCCCTTTTTTGACGATTCGGTTCAGCAGATATGTTACACACGCCCCTCATTTGGCGATTCCGGTTCATCATATATCCTAACCACGCCTCCTCATTTGGCCATTCCGAAATTCCGGTATCTCATATACCTTAAGCATGCCGCCCTCGTTTGGCGATTCCGGTTCATCATACATGTTAAACACGCCCCCTAATGTGGGGATTCCGGTTCACCACATATCTTAAACAGGCCGCCACCTTATTTGGTGATTCCGGTTCATCATATGTCTTGAGCACCCCCCGTCATTTGGCGATAACGGTTCATCATTCCTGCTGAACATACCCCTCACTTGGCGATAACGGTTCATTATACATCCTGAACACGCCAACCCCCCTCCCGTTTGGCGACACCGGTTCATCATATATCTTAAACGCAACCCATCATTTGGCGATTCCGGTTCGGCATACATGCTGAACATGCCCTCCATTCGGCGATTCCGGCTAACCACATGTCTTAGACACGCGCCCTCATGTCGCATGCCCGGTTCACCACATATCTTAAACTGGCCGCCGCCTTATTTGGTGATTCCGGTTCATCATCTATCCTGAACACGCCTCGTCAATTGGCGATAACGGTTTGTCATTCCTGCTGAACATACTCCTCATTTGGCGATAACGGTTCATCACAATGTTAAACACGCCCCGTCGTTTGGCGATTCCGGTTCATCCTATATCTCAAACACGCCCCCTCATTTGGCGATATCGGTTCATCATATATCTCAAACACTGGCGGACCGACTGACCGACTGACTGACAGCCCGGCGCTTGACGCATGGACCAACCGACCGACCACCGGACCGACTGACAGACCGACATGCTCGCGTACCGACCAACGCACCGACTGACTGACTGACTGACTGACTGACTGACTGTCGGGCTCGCGGATCGACGGACGACTGACCGACTGACGCGGGCTCGCAGATCGACTGACCGACTTGCTGACTCGGCGCTTGAATGATTGAAGCCATGCAGGCGAAAACCAAAAAAAATACCAAAAAAGAACAGACAAAACTAGCCAAAAAGAACCCCCACCCACTAAGTCATGCCAGTAGGACCCAAAATGCCAGAGAGAACCAAACCCCACATGGAATAATGTCTTATAAACGAAGCGCAAGTGTTATCATGCATCTTCAATTCAAAGGCTTTCCAGCAGACTAGACCGTACTAGACAACGAACAGCATCAACCCGCCCAACACGACCGTTTCTGAAGAGCAGCCCATGCTGCTAACAATACTGCGATTAGTACCTATGAAACGTGATGATGACGACGACGACTACATCCACCGCTGCCTGCTGGTACTGCTGCCACTGCTACTGCAACTGCCACTGAGGGTTTATAGTAACAACATCAACGTGCCCGCATCCATCAATCCGTCCATCCGTCCATCCGTGCATCGATCCATCCATCCGTCCATCTGTCCATCCATCCAGCCATCCATCCATGTAAATCCGTCCGTCCATGTAAATATCGGTTGTTTGGCTTCCTATGTTTAAGGAAAGGGAGCGAGGACACCCAAACAACTCAATATGTATACTAATGTATACACCCACAGACGAACAGATTGAGGTGATGAACAGAAAAACAAACATGCAATGGAGCCAGGCTGCTCCGGTGTTGGAGCAGTTGGCGGCGGTGGCTTGGGCTCCGCAGGTTTGGCGGGCTCCGCCTCTATGTCAGAAAGCAGTGCTTGCAGGGCTTCATGGCTTAAGGAAGCGCCTCGCATCTCAGGAATTTGACGGTTGCAAGAAACTCAACAGATGCGGGTGAGAAACTTCGGATCTGGGAGCCCTTTCGGAGGCTTCACTATGCCTCTGTGACACTGCCAGAAGACATTTGGGGATGTCGGACTTGAACATGAACCAACCCCTCTGCTTGACTTTCAGCTGGCAGATATGACATCGTGAGCACTGCGGCACCAAACTGCCAATGCCACTCTAGCACTTTTGCTGTGACGAATGCTTCTACTCCGACAACGACATTCCTAACCTCACGGCCGCTGCTGCTGCTGCTACACCTACTGCACCTTCTACTCCGACTGCTCCTGCTGCTGCTGCTGCTGCTGCTGCTACTGCTGCTCCGGCTCCCGCTCCCTGGTCCCAAGTGAAGACGCTATTCGTATGTAGGAACAAGGTCAATATGTATATATATATACATATATATATAAACATATATGCGTATAGTCTATGTGGTAGATGTATATATTATAAATGTTGTACATACACAACAACGCTTGCAGCAATGGACCTCGGGCTCCTCCTCGGCATCCGCCTTCTGCTTCGAAGCGAACCTCTCGTTGGGTCGCAGCTTCTTCTTGCTTGGAGGTGCCTGCCAGGCGGCAAGGATTCGGCTGAAATGGAAAATGATACTTAAGAACTAGCACACCATAGTGCAATCCGAAGCTCCAAGAACTGAAGATTGGGCAAACCTTCACGCAAATACGAGGCTTGTGGCCCCCACCTACCAGAACCCTAGGTCAGCGCACTGGGGTTCGGGGTACTCTCATGCTGTCCGAAACCCTAAACAGTCCCGGACGCGACACGCAAGCAAACGCATAATAGGCTGGAGGCAGGATTCCTCCAAGGCTGGCGCTTCGTGTCGCGGCGCTGCGAATTTTCCTCGGGACGCAACAACCCTCTCGTTAAGGTAGACCTAAACTTGCACAGGATCTCTTATTATTAAGCAATCAAAAAACTACCTTTTTTCGGCAATGTTGCATATCTCTAAAGAAGTTCACTGTCTTCCATGGTTTGGGTAATGTTTAAGTAGCTCTGTGAGTTACCCTTACCCTGCCGCTGGAAGAAGCATTCTAGGAACCTGATTCAGCAAGCCCTGCGTTTCTTTTGGGAATAGTGCTTAAGTCTCTAAACTCCCCCCACGTAATCGGATCCATGGTAACTCTACCGTCATCGAAACTAAACCTCGACATACTTTAGAAATTAACATGCCGCCATGCCACGCAGTTCTTCTTTGTCCGCTGACGGCTGTCTGATGCGCACATGCCTTGCCCGAGCAATGCTTCTGCATTATATATAGTAATGATAGAACCAGTACATGTAGACGTCGGCATGACAAACGAAACACGCTTATGCCCTGAGGTCACTGGCTGCTTTGCAGGTTGCTTGTCGGCAACAGCTATCCATCCACGTGAAGACTTGCCCATTGCCAGCTCAACGGCTTTAGCGCTGGCAAAGCGGACACAGCCAACTTTCTGTCCGTCATCCTGAGATTGCCGCAGGATTCTATCGTACTACATGCACAGAACCCAAAAATTCTGAACCCTGAACCCTACACTGTGCCCGAAGCCCGTCAATTGTGCAAGTGTTTGGTGCGAAACCGCGTGCTGAGACGGACGACGGACAGACAGACCACGAATCTCTCTGCAGGAGGTACCAATGACTCTGAACCCGGAACCCTGTGGATCACGCACGCCTTGGGATTTCAGAGTTCTGGTCTGGGATTTAATGCCAAAACCCGACCTGAACCACTTCAACCCTAAATCCTGGACCTTCGGCGGATGCCCCAAGAAGAAGTATCCGAACGAAACTGCTGTTCCAGTCATGAGCTTCGGTGCCTTCGGCACAGGGTGCACGTCAAGAGCCCTCAAGCCCGCGCAAACTCGAAACCTGCCCCCAATACCCCGGAACCCGTTAAAAGTAAACCCTAAACTCTAAACCCTTAAACCCTTACACCCTAAAACCCCAAACCCCCTAAACCCTAAACACCAGGCAGCTCCCGACATTGAGACCAGCAGCAGACTGGAAGCCCAAACGCACTTCCAGTACAGGGCCGAACCGCTTGAAGGCCTGGTGATAGTGGTAGTTTCGGGGTTTAGGGTGTAAGGTTCAGGGTTTAGGGTTTGGGGCTAGGGTTTAGGTTTAGGGTCAGTTTCGAAAAAGGGCTCCATGAGGCGTTATCCAAATCTTGCAAGGTTTTCAAGGTTTGCAGAGTTGTAGAAGTTCGTGCTGATGGTCGTCGATTTTGGGGCTGGGATTTTGGGTTTTGGAGATTCAGTAGGAGGGTTTAGGGTGAGCCCTAAGTCCAAGCTACTAACGTCAAACCCGCATCCACTAAATCCTAAATCCTGAACCCCGGATTTGAGCCCGCTATTTTCCTAAACCCTAACCCCTAACCTCAAACCTGAAAGCCTTCTGAGCTACGGCCTCAAACTCACAGCCCCAGCTCCGAGCCCCCCGGCGCAACCTGCGACCTCAAAGGCTTTAGGGGGTTTAGGGTTTAGGGTTTCGGGGGTTTAGGGTTTTTAAGGGGTTTAGGGGGTTTGGGGTTTAGGGGATTTAGAGTTTCGGGGTTCAGCAGCTCCAGATCGAGCAGTTTCTATTCGAGCTCAACTCCGGAAATCATCCCAGGTCCTAACCCCTAAGCCTGAAAATAAGAGGCCCTAAACCTTGGTCTTAGAATCCTAAGCCCCAAAACCCGAGCCCCAAAACCTCAATCCTCCAAAGCCCAAATGCAGATCTTCCTTGAATATGGGTTTTTTCTTCGTTGAACTTGGCGAAACGGTAAAACCCTCTTCAACGAAGGGCAGGTGTTTCCTGCGTTGAATTTGGCGATTTCTTCGTTGAATTGTTTAGGGTTTAGAGTTCAGAGTCACGCAGACCATGCGCCGAGCCTGCTGCAAAGCAACTTTAGCTTTGCTTTCCCAGTCACCACCGCCGGGAGCAAGCTCCTCATTGGCTGAATAGGGCTTTGCGCTCCGGTTTTGGGTTCGGGGTGATGAAGGTTCACTGCTTGGGGCTTGGGGATTTAGGGCATGGGCGCCCTAAATCCTAAACCCTAAACCCTAAACCCTAAACCGTGGTCGGAGTGCAGCAGGTTGTGCATGCAGGGTTCGGGATTAAGGTTGCCTCGGAGGTCGGGTTGAGGATAGTAGTCGGAAGCTTTGAACCCTCTGCCGATAGGCACTTGAAGGACTTAGATGTTCAGGTATGCTCAAACTTCGTGTTGAGTAGATCTGGAGTTTTAGAAGATCTTATGCCCTGAAGACCTAGAAGATCTTCTGCCCTGAAGCCCTAGAAGATCTTATGCCCTGAAGCCCTGAAGCTCTTCGGGCTGAAGGCGCTCTGAGCCCTGCAGTGCAGTCGCGAAGCCCGGACGTCTGCGTCTGGACACTCGACGACCAGCTTCTTTGTCTTAAAGCCGTACACAGAGTTCTCCTGCATGTCCCAAACGCAAACATGCCCCTGCTTTCATTACTGAATGTTTTGGTGTAGGATCAGGTTGTAGAAGTTCATGCAGTGTTTGTGCGGCTTGTGTTTGAATCTCTCGCCGTGAAACCGAAGGTCTTTGCAGTGCTGTGGCAGAACACACATGACAATGACAATCAACTTGAAACTAAACCTGACGACGAAAACGGCTATTGCCGAGAAGACGAGTGACAATCTAAACACCACAGCTTTTTTCCCAGAAAGCTGCCACGTCCAATGCTTCCCTTGGGAGCGGACCCGTTGTCAGGATGAAGGATGTAGGAGTGAAGAGCATCTTAGGCGTTCAGGGTTTAGGGTGTAGGGTTTAGGTGTTCTCAGTAGCGGCAGATTGCAAGCTCGGATTGCGAACAGACTAAGGTCTTGGCCTGTAGGCTTTGAGTTATGCAAGTAACTAGTTTCATGAATCATGTCCATAATATGTGATACTGTTGATGATATAAACATCCTGCATGACCTTAAGGACCCTAAACTATGGAACTATGTATGGTATATTCCTTATTATGTGTAATGCAGGATTTCTATCATCAACCGTAGCACTGCCCACCGGGGCGAGCAAAAAGCAGTGGCTAAGGCGATATGGGTCACTGCTCGACTTTCAGTGCCCTGAGGCTTTCGGGTAGTTGTACAAATTCGAATTCCTTTTTGTTGAGGTCCTCCTTTTTGCAGAGTGACGTACCGTTTTCTGTACCCAAAATGGGACACTAGCTGCCCATGTCATAAAAACTCCGATCACTCCTCCTTGGCTGCCGGCTTCACCGGCTCGCGGTATTTACCAGGCGAGACGTAACCCAAAGGAGGTCCTCTCAGCTGCAGAGACACCCTACTGGATTTAGGATTCGGGCTGTAGGGCTTTGGAATTGGGGAATCAACGCTTCGGCACATGCAGGTCGACAAAGCTGGCCGAGTATGATTCATGCCGTCATGCAGCAAAGCTGGCTTCAGAGGATGCTTTACAAGGCGTTCATCAAAACAAACTACGGCAACTGAGCTCCAAGCCTGAACACCCTCTTCCCAAACCCCATCCTCCCTAAACCCTAAACCCTCTTCCCCAAAAACCC